TGTCAAGCTGGAACTGTCGTTGACCGAGAGGTCGCTCACCCAACTGAGTTTGACTTCTATCTTCAGAGTCACGGCGGGCTTCTAGGAACCAGCCGGCCAGCACATTATTCTGTGAGTTCACATTCATGTGGCCTGCGCTAACACCGATTAACGTTCACCGGTGTCATAGGTGCTCTATGATGTAGGTTATCTCTCATCTCCGTTTTACCCAAGTACTGAGATTTCTGATACTTTGCAGGAAAATGGTTTCAAGTAAGTTCCCCTCTATGGGTAATGTTAATAATTGTAGCTTATACAATGCAGGGCGGATACTCTCCAATCACTTTCGTTTGCCCTTTGTCACGTCTATGCACGTTCAACACGTTCTGTATCGATTCCCGCGCCTGTGTATTGTAGGTCCCACCATTCGGACCACCGTCGTGGAAGCTGATGGCCATTTTGCGCAGACGCTGACATTGTGTGCTCAAGAGCCAAAAATCACTACGACCCACAGGGCCTCCTTAACTTTTCTGATTCTGCAACCCACGTCGACAACGAGGGTGGGACAACCCTCGACGCTTTCCGGCGCAACTTTAAAAAGCTACATCAAACACAATCAAGACTCATGTATTTTTCTGTGAGTCGCTTTCCGATTTGGTTTCGTGCAACAGTTTGTGACCAGAATGGCAGTGATTCTTCATTTAGATTCATGTGACCTCTGAAACGGAACTGCTCTGCTCATCTACCTACATTTTACACCAGAATTCAAATGTAAACTTGTTCATCGCAATACACGTTGATGCACTAAAGTAATTTATCTTCTTCTGTTGCCGGACGACCACGATTCAAATACCAGATGCCACCGTTAAGATATGTCGCGAAAGTCAACCATGCACAGTACGGGATCAAGAAATAAGTCGTTTTCGAGTTAGTAGGGCCATCCAAAAGTTTCTGCAGGAGGAAATTAAACAAGAGCAAGCCCCCTCGAATAATCACCCACAGTCATGTAGTAAGTCGTTCCCGCTAGTAACACGCTATCGATCAAGGCTGTTCCCAACTGCGCGCGTACATTGAGAATAATTGGCACAGGAAAGTTGGGTGAAATACACACCAGCTTCCAATTGAAGAAAAGCGGACTCCAAACACAGTTCAATCCCAGTTGTGCATAATAAAGCGCGATGCCCAAAGTCAGATCGGCCCTTGAATAGGTGCATAATCAGCAACCCCAAAAACCGGAGCAGGGAAGCGCATGCCTAGCTGATGGTGAGGTAGCGGTATCCAACGCCTTGACTGCTAAATGCGAAGCATAACCCATCGCTGCTGACTTGTCAGCGATTATCTCCAAGATGAGGGCGACATACAAAGATATAACATCGGCCAGACAATTGGGAAAACCTGGCGGGGTGGACGCCCTGGAGGTGTATATAATCCCTAGGGGAACTTATTCCAGCCTGCCCACAGCTCCGATGGATGAGGCTTACTTTGTACCATTTCCCCCGTACTACTTTGGCTGTAGACGAACCACTGAGGATACCAAATGCAAGGGGTAACCCCACAGCTGTAATAGGGTTTCGGGGGATAGCGAGAAGGATGTTTGGGATATAAACGTTGGACATGGTGGCAGCTGTGATGAAATTTTTTACTTTTTCACATTCTGAGCAAGAGATCGGTTGCTCGATGACGTTGGCAGCGGGTCCAAATCAAAAAGTGTCGCTGTTTGTACATGCTACGCGAAGATGGCATTGGCGTCAATTAGTACAGCGCTCCCTTCTTTTCGACGTGACGACATTAATATTCTATGTAATCTGGCAGCCTCGCACTACATTACACTATAGTACCATAGCAGGGTAATCATCGGAAACTTGTCTGACTCAAATCGCATCAATGACAATCAGTTCCTTCTATGACTCGATCGCGGTCCGGGCTATCCATTTGGGAACGTGAGCCCTAGTTATTCCCAAACCACGCACCTCAGACCTGCCGGGCTGTCATGCCAGAATTGCCGAAGTGGAAACCATCACGATCAAGGGATTAGCACGAGTCAATCGGTAAAATGGGGGTGTAAGGATATGCCTGATCGATTGATGCGCGATAAACCGATAGTACAGGGCGTAAAGATGGTGTTCTAAAATATTATTAAATCCGCGCGCACGGGATCAGCGGATGGACAGCGAGGTAGTCGACATTTACCCCAGAACTGTACACCAAAATAAAGATACCGTCTACATCGGACGAGGAGGGGGTGTAGGAGTAGCAGGTATCCGTTTAAGGATAAAAACAAGTTGTTTTGCCCAGTGGGAGATTGAATAAAAGAAGTTTGCAATAAGACCCTCATCCCGCCGTGCAAATCTGGACCGTAATTTCCAAGACCCAAGCTGGCCACGAATCTCAGCAAATTGTTTGACAACTTCATCCATGGTGGGGCGTTTCTGAGGGTCGTCTTGGACCATATTGTTTATCAGATCCTCCAAGAATTCAAAACCCCGCCGAGGCGGAAAATGCTGATTCCCCTGCACATCGTGAACAATGTCTTCGTCCAAACCAGGGATTTACATACCTCGATGAAGTTACGAACAACGTTCCCAATACAGTAGACATCAACCATAAATGGATTAACGGGAACACCAGCCTTATATTCTGGCACAGTCCGATCTCCGCCAACAAAGGGTTTGTCGAGTGGATTCTGATCAGTAGCATCATAGGAGCGAGAGAGCCCAAAATCAATTAGATAGTAGTTGACTGGTCGCTGGGTTCTGGTAAGCGGTCTCGACCGCCGCTTGAAGTCGTACGTTTTTGTCAAAACCCAAGGGTGAATCGGTTCCTGGTAGAGGGTGGACGGGTCCATCATAACATTATTCCTCTTACAATCGCTGGAAAGCAAGTTAACAAAAATAAAAATAAATGGAGCAATCCGAAGAGTCTACCGATGGGCGATGCGCTGACTGTGCATGAATTGTAGGCCCTGAGAAGCATAAAGAATAAATTTCTTCCGACGAATAGTGGCAAAGATAACCACACACCTCAAATACTTGTCTGAAAAACTCTACCACTTCCCCAATGGTACAAAACTCGGGCCTATAGGCTGCTGTGAGGTAAGGCATGACAATAAGAACATGCTCCTCGTCTCCTGGTATTGCAAGTACGTCGTATATTGGTACACAATGATTGTGCGGGTGGGATGCCAAATGTTTTGAAGAAAACAATTGCCCGATCCGCGCTTCGCTGGGGTATTTAGATTTGTCAACTTTCTTGAAAATGACAGTTGCTCCATCAGAGATCCTAGTGCCATCCATGAGGTGGTACACCTAGAATCGAATATTAAATAATTAACGCTATCCACCGTTACTACTGTCGACAAACTGTAGGTGTCTGGCCATCCTCGCACTCTGACCAATGTTTCCCCGTGTCCTTCCATGATGCAACCCACTCAGGCCGGTATCGAGGTCGAAGAAGATAGCCCTGATCTTTCAGCCATAAAAAAAGGTCACGCCAGAAAAACTCGCTCTGGTAGAGGCGGCATTCGTCCATAACTTCGCCTTCGTACAGCAATGCAAGTTCAGGGCCCATGGCTAGGTGCGTCTGGGAGGTTTCTGCCATGACTGGGTCGAGGAGGTTCGTGCTAAAGCGCCAAATAAAAGCCGCGTCCCCTCCGAGTGTGCAGACAACAAATAACGGGACCCACTGAGATCAACAAGTATAACTACGCTTAATAGGTTAGACCAGGGTCTTTGCTTATTGTTTTCTATATGGAAGGTATCTCGATTTGATTGATGCCTTGAGGTGCATGAGTGAAACTGGAGCCTGGAGGGCTGATGCTTATATATGGCAGTATTTATACCAGAACAACCCCAGGAAGCCCCCCCTACACCGACACCCACCAGCCGAACCCCTTCCCCTCCCGCTTTCGAGTTTGAGCCATGCCAGTCCTGGAGACTGCCTCGCTCGTTGTAGCCATTGGCTCTTTCTTGATTGAGACACCTAGAATTGCGACCGGCATCTGCAGTCTCAAACCGTCTGCCAGTGAACTGACTGAGAAGACGGAAGCGCGACTCAAAGAAATACTCACAGAAATTAAAGATAATCAAATGGTCATCAGCCGGGCTGAGATTGTCAACATATTGCACACTCATTCTCAGTAATTTGTATTTTCTTGAAATCTGCTACCCACTTACCGGTATGTAGACACAAAGCGCGATTGGTAGAATTGCGCCGGGAATGCCCGAGCTCGTTTCCATTGACCCAGTGGTGGAACAAGCGGGGGAAGCATCGTCGGGAGATCGAGGAATTTTGTATCATCGTCGATGAATTCTACGCTCAGGTGATGGTAAGACAGTCCGCGTTCATGCATTCCTACGTTCACTATATACCACGACCTACAGGAAGTCTCTGAATCGGCGAACACACAAGCAATATTGGAAAACACCCAAACGGGCACACCAGGTAAATTTAAACTTCAGAGCCCGCCTCTTACACAACGCTGTCCAATCCCATTAATATTGGTATTTAGAAACCCCAAAAGCCTCCTGTATCCAGATTCCCGCAGACCTCGCCCCAGAGTCCACGGGATCCTCGATTTACCAATTCCCCTTGAGTGGTGGTATCCCACTTGAACCAATCGTAACAATCGCTAGTTGACCCGCATTCCTTACAAGTTACAATTACAGTCTTTACCAATTGAAGCTTAAGGGCGGAGTCTGAGCTCAGTGATGAATCCACGATCAAGTACAGATCACAAAATGCCGTATTGCATAAGGCAGTCTTCAAGCCAAGATCGCACGAATCCTTAGCCAAATTTCAATGTCCCTCATGCTTATTGCACATGATAATTATGATCCCGCGAATGGTGGGTGGGTGGTCATTCGATGATCGCTCGGTAGAGACCGTTTGAACAGAGCTATTTTCGGGTGCAAAATATGAATTACCCCCACGCCTGCCCGCCCTCAACGAATGCCATTTGCTTGCAGAGCGGAAAAGTGTTGAAATTAAGATTTCGCATAGAAAAAAGGTTTAAAAAATCACGCAGGCACTGCCAAGAATCGAACTTGGGTTACGAGAAATTGACGCATCAGAATCTCGAGTGATAACCGCTACACTACAGCGCCTGAATGGTTTAGCCTAGTTGCCCTAAAGCACTCACATGTCGCTCTCAAATCTTCCCTATCTATAATCTAATTTAGATCTGGCGAGTCAGTGTAACCGTCAGTTGGGTCGAATCATCGATTCTTTTCCGAGACCTTGACTCAAAAACAATGTTCCCCTTTTTACCTCTCGTAGGTGAAGACTCCCAACCAGGATTGATTGAATCCCTCTGTCGTATTGGCCCGGTCATTCTCTCTCAATCGTTTCTCCCATCCACATTACCCATCCAATATTATATCCTTGTTGATACTGAAGCAAGCCTTGACCAGGAACAGTTGATCTCTTACCTGAATGGGGGCGCGGAAAAGCTCATCCTTCCTTTGAGCTGGGCTAAGGAGCTCATTGGCGTTGTACCGCCCGATCGCCTTATAATTCTCCTTGATGTAGAGAGCGTAAGTGCCGTATCTGATAAAGTTCGAAGTGGGGTATCTGGCGTCATGTTGAAATCGTCAGAAGTTGACCTTATATCGTCCCTCGCTGGGTTCTTCGCCGGTTCTGCGATCTACGTCCTACCCAACTCGACGGCTCCGCCACCAAAATCTACCATCCAACGTCTCTCGGACGTTGGGGCAACCCTAGTTGTTCCCATTTCCCAGCTAACCCTGGGGCCGTCTTCCCAAACACAGATCAATATCGCAGACGCCTTCCTTGCACCCGCTATTTCCGACCGCCCCGATGGCTTATATCCAACGATTGTGTCCAGCGAAACCGGGCACTCCCTCGGGCTTGTGTATTCCTCCGCCCAATCAATCACGGAGAGTATCGTAACCGGAAAGGTGTTTACCAGTCTCGCAAACATGGGCTCTGGAGAAAAGGGGAAACTTCTGGGTCAACCCAAGATGTCACAAGCATTCGCTTTGACTGTGACTATGATAGCCTCGAGTTCCGGGTCGTTCAACACGGTTCTGGATTTGTCATCTCAACCGTCCCTCTTGTTTCGGACACACTGGTGGTTTATCTGCCTTGGAAAGCACCCTCCGGTCTCGTCTAATATCAGCACCCGAAGGATCCTATACCCGTAGACTATATGACGATGCGGACCTCCTCCAATCCAAAATCATGGAGGAGGCTGATGAGCTCTGTCAAGCGCAAGAGAAAGAGGAGATCGGGTTTGAGGCTGCTGATCTCTTCTACTTTGCCCTCACCAAATGCATAGCTGCGGGAGTTGGGATTGCAGATATCGAGCACTTCCTGGATAGGAAGGCTCATAAAGTTACCAGAAGACCCGGTAATGCAAAACCCCAGTGGGCACCTATCAAACAGAAGGACCACCGCTCAGTAGTGTCAAACCAACCCCAACGACCCCATCCGTATGCGTACATCGGATTTATCCACCATTACACAGTCGGAACGGGCTGCCCTTCTCCGCCGTCCCGTTCTAAAATCGGATGAAATGATAGTCAAAGTAAAGCCGATTGTCGACGATGTTCGCAAGCGGGGGGACAAGGCCCTCCTCGAGCTAACCGCCAAATTTGACAAAGCCCAATTGACATCCACGGTTGTGTTCCCACCCTTTGCACCGGAAACGATGGTTGTGGATTCGGAAGTTCAACGAGCGATTGACATTGCTTATGAAAATATCCGGAAATTCCACGCAGCGCAAATTGACGGTTCGACACTTGTTGTGGAACAACACCAGGCGTGTTTGCTCTCGATTCTCCCGCCCGATCGCCCGGGTGGGGCTTTATGTTCCTGGTGGAACAGCAATATTACCGTCAACCGCATTGATGCTCGGCATTCCCGCACAGTAGCAGGATGCAAGGAGATTGTGATCGCGACCCCTCCACGCTCAGATGGAAGCATATCTCCTGAAGTGATGTACGTCGCCCACCTGTAGGCGCATCGGCCGTCTTAAAGGCCGGCGGGGCACAAGCAGTTGCTGCATTGGCTTATGGGACGGAGACTGTTCCTAAAGTTGACAAAATTTTCGGGCCGGAAATCAATGGGTTACTGCTGCAAAGATGCTTGTCCAAAACGACACAGATGCTTTGGTATCAATTGATATGCCTGCTGGACCGTCCGAAGTGCTTGTGAGCAAGCAACGCTGTAATCATTAGTGAATTTCTGAATCTAGTTTATAGGTGATGGCAGACTACACTGCGAACCCGGCATTTGTCGCAGCCGATCTACTCTCCCAAGCGGAGCATGGCGCTGATTCGCAGGTGGTTCTTGTCGGTATAAGCCTGAACGAGGAAAAACTCGAGGCAATCGAGAGAGAAGTTGATGCGCAAGCCAAGGCGCTTCCTCGGGTTGATATAATCCGACAATCGGTTTCGAAAAGCATCATCGTCAAGGCATCGTCGATTCAAGAGGCAATGAACTTCTCCAACGATTATGCACCAGAGCATCTCATTCTTCATCTCGAGAATGCCAGCAAAAAGGTTCCCATGATCGACAACGCGGGCAGTGTTTTTGTTGGTGCATACACTCCTGAGAGGTGGGTACGCGTTTTTCATTACCTGGCCCATCCTCATGCGTATTTTTTAGTTGTGGGGACTACGCCTCAGGCACCAACCATACCTTACCCACCAACGGGTACGCTCGTCAATTCAGCGGTGTCAATACACTATCCTTCCAAAAACACATTACCTCTCAGGAGATCACGCCAGCAGGCCTCAACGCCCTGGGTCCAGTTGTGGCGACACTCGCAGATTGTGAAGGGCTACATGCTCATGCAAATGCCGTTCGGATTCGCCTACGCAAATAGAGCATCAATAGCAAGGAACTGCATAGTACCAAAAGAATATAAGCTTATTATTGATTCTAAGGGGCCATAAGTAGGTAGAACATGAAGTGTCTATCGATTACCGACGATCCAAGAACAGCACGTTCTCAATTGGTTCGGTAAAGTGCCCGTTTTGCGACCTTGACGATCAGAGGGGCATCGGGGAAGGCAAGAGCCTCGAGGTTGGTGGCGTACTGGGCAAAAAAGTTAGCGACAGGAAAGATGAAATTTGGGAGACATACTGGAGTTGGAACATCAGCACCAGTAACCCGCTCAACGGGAGCATCAAGGTAGTCAAATGCATCACTCTCAATGATTTGGGCGCAAATTTCACTACCGACACCGAAGGCAGGGAAGCCACCCTCAACAATAAGAAGTCTATTGCAAACGTTAGACCATGTCCATTTAGGGCAGAATGAAATATTTCTCACCGGTTGGTCTTCTTGACCGACTTCTTGATTGTGTCGATATCTAAAGGCCGGATACTGCGAAGGTTGATAACCTCAGCTTTAATCCCTTCCTTGGCTAACTCGTCGGCAGCCTCCAGACTGTGAGTAACCATTTTACTATGCGCCACTATTGTAACATCACTACCCTCTCTCTCGACCTTGCATTTACCAATGGGAAGAAGGAAGTTGTCCGACATCGCCTCCGCGGACATGGGGAATGAAACACCGTAAAGCATTTCATTCTCGAGGAAAACGACAGGGTTGGGATCTCGGATGGCAGACTGCGAGATGGTTAGGATGATCATTCATTTGATCAGCGAGAAACTTGCTTTCAGCAAACCCTTGCAGTCCTCCGCGCTCCATGGGCTCACGACCTTCAGCCCAGGAACTGAGCCATACCAAGCAGCGTAGTCTTGTGAATGCTGTGCGGCAACCCCTGCAGCTGCACCATTGGGACCACGAAACACGACTGGACAAGGCACGTTTCCACCGGACATGTAATAAGTCTTTCCAGCCGAATTGACAATCTGGTCGATTGCTTGCATGGCAAAATTGAAGGTCATGAACTCGCAACTATGTCACCGCAGTAGTTAATTAAATGGGACTAGCTGTGTACTGAGGCTGGAAAATACGTACATGGGGCGGAGACCGGCCAGCGCAGAACCCACAGCAAGGCCAGCGAAACCCATTTCGGTGATCGGAGTATCCACAACTCGTTTTTCACCGAACTTGTCCATGAGCCCTTTTGTCACCTGGTACAATTAGGTGAAATTGTGTGGGGAAGGAGCTTGAACCAGCATACCTTATATGCACCATTATACCGGGCGACCTCCTCACCCAGAATATAGACAGTTTCGTCACGGATCATTTCCTCCTCCATTGCGGCATTGAGGGCATCGCGGACTGTCATCTTTACACACGCATGAGCAAAAAAATATTGGCGTAGCCAAGAACGCGAGATAACAAACATGGTGTTCAGCCTCAGCTGTTGCGTAGCCGCGCGCGACTTGCATAGTCCTCCGCGCAGCCACTGATGAGGTCGCCCGGGCATTAGACAATGCGGGTGCAATGCGAGAGAAGGCTGAGCGGACTGCCATTGTTTTTCTGGAGGAAGGGGGAGGTGAAGAGGAAAGATACCGTTTTGGCCCGCGGTAGGTTGTGAAAAGTTGTGTAGCCTATTACATAACTTTGGGGGTGTTTTGACGCCACCCTGCTGACCTGAAGTCACAAGTTTGTACTTGGATTACACCATGGCCACTCGGAAGCCTGTGGTGATCGTCACTGGCGCTTCAAAGTAGTTTCTCTGTGTGCATTATCCGTCTAGACACTGATATGACCATAGAGGTATCGGACTAGCCGTGACCAGACATCTGTTGCATAAATTTAACGCAAAAGTCGTCGCTCTGGCGAGAACACAAACTCCAGAACTACTTGAGCTCGAGTCTCCCGATCTTTATTCGTCAAATGCGACATGTTTGTTGATGGATTCATTTCATCCTATTATTTGATGTAAACGGGCCTTGACAGCGCTGACGAATCTGCCTTGACTGCGGCCGTGGAACAGGCGCAATCGAATTTCCATCACATAGATGGACTCATTTTGAATGCAGCCATCATTGACCCGATGTGTCGTATTGGAGACGATACTCCGCTCTCGGCGTGGAAGACCCACTTCGATGTCAATTTTTTCTCTCTGGTAACAGCGTTGAAAGCGGCCTTGCCGTCTTTGCGAAAGAGTAATTTTGGTGTGGGAAAGTTATTTTCGTGAGCTCTGGCGCCGCTGTTAAGG